GTATACAATAGATTACTCTAGAGGCCAATCACAATGGAGATAATTTCTGGATAACAGAGGTCTATGCTAAATCTACTATTGAAAAAAGAAGGAAACTTTGGCGCAAAATCAGGTCTGTCCATCACTATATCAACGGGCCATGGACTATTATGGGAGATTTCAATGTCATTATGAATGCTGCTGAAAAGAAAGGTGGTGCACCTTACACTTTAAATCAGAGCAGAGATTTTCTTTCATGCATGGAGGATTGCGGTGTGTGCGACCTAGGCTTCAATGTCTATCCTTTCACATTGTGCAATGGCAGGGATAGAAGAAACAGAATAAGCGAGAGGCTATGGACATAGTCTTATGATTTTCAAAGCCGGTAATGATAAGGCTAAATTCACCAGGTACTTCAGGTTCCTCAACTTTTGGACCTCTCAAAGTGGCTATCTCTCTATAGTTGAGGAAATCTGAAACATTGACGTTCAGGGCAACTATATTTGGGTATTGCAATAGAAACTTAAAGTTGTTTCTAAAAGCATAGGCAAATGGTCCAAAGATACCATTGGTGATATTTTTGAAAGTTAAAAAACTAGAGACTGATATTTGCCGACAAGAGGAAATCTATGATGCTAACGACACTGACAATAACAGGTAGACTCTTACGAAGGCCCATGCTGAATACACTAGATGGCTAATGATTCAAGAGTCCATTTTCAAACAAAAAGCAAGAATCAAATGGGCAGAGGAAGGAGATGCCAACACCAAATACTTCTATGGCGTAGTGAAAGAGAAAAGAAGGAAAACTCATATACATAAAATCAAAGATGCCAATGGAGGATGGATCGGGGGTAATGAGGCTATCTCTAATGCTGTTATCGACCACTTCTCTAAACTATTTGAGCACAGCCCCAACGACAATGATCTATTTATCTTACAATGTGTGAATTCACTTATTACAGATGAAGACAATAGATACATGTATTAATTGCCAGACGAAGAAGAGATAAGGAATATTGTCTTTTCCATGGATCCCAATAATGCTGCTAGGCCTGGTAAGTTTAATGGGCACTTTTATCAAGTTACCTGGAATATTATTAAAAAAGAGGTGTGCCAATTTGTTCAAGCTTACTTCTCTAGGACTAGTCTTACTAAATACTTCACTAACACTAACCTCGTTCTAATTCCAAAAGTATCCTCACCTTCCACCTTAGACCAACTTAGACCTATTAGTCTGTGCAATATGTCCAACAAGATTATCTCCAAACTCTTATCTACCAGATTATCCCAACTACTCCCAAACTCATCTCTGATAACCAAACAGGCTTCGTCAAAGGCATGCTCATTACTGAGAACATCCTTCTAGCCTAAGAGATTGTCCATGATATTGGTAATTAGAATAACAGGGAGGCAACATTGTCATTAAACTCGATATGTCCAAAGCATATGATAAATTATCTTGGAGCTTCCTTTCAGTTGTGCTTAGGAAATTGAACTTCTGTGAGGTTGTGATTGATATGATCTACATGCTTCTTGCTGACAATTGGTATTCTATCCTAATCAATGGTACAAGATATGGTTTATTCAAATCCTCTAGAGGTTTAAAACAAGGGGACACCATGTCCCTTTCTCTCTTTATTTTGGCTACTGAAGCACTATCCAGAGCTCTAAATAAGCTCCATGAGAATAGCCAGTTCATTGACTTCTCTATGAGCACTAGTGGCCTCAAGATCAAGCACTTGAGCTATGGTGATGACCTGGTCCTCTTCTCCTCATGAGATAGGAATTCTATCAAACTCATCATGGAGGTCCTCAATGACTATCAACATGCTTCAGGACAGTAAGTTAACATGATTACAAGTTTCTTTCTCCCTTGGAATTCAAGAAATAGAAGGGTGAACAGGAGGATCAGAAGGTGGACAGGATTCAAATAAGTGGAATTTCCCTTCACTCATGTAGGCTGCCCTATCTATATTAGCAGGAAAAAGAACTACTACTTTTCTAATCTTGCCTCTAAGGTCCTTAATAAAGTAGGTTGTTGGCAAGAGAACTTAATGTCATTTGGGGGTAGAGCTATCATAATCAAACACATTATGCAGTCCCAAACGCTCTACTTACTTGCTGCTATGGTACTACCAAAAGCTATTATTAGCCAAATTGAAATGTACCTCTCTAACTTCTTCTGGGAGAAAAGGAAGGCAAAAAGGGCTGTCATTGTAGCTCCTGGGAGACTTTGAGCTACCCCACAATGAAGGGGGAGTTGGTTTCAAGAAGCTTCAAGACTTTTGCAACTCATTTGCTGCTAAGAAATGGTGGAGGTTTAGGGTGAAAAACAATTTATGGACCAGGTTCCTCAATGCAAAGTATTGCCCTAGATCTAATCCACTATCCAAAATTCATGTGCCTAAGGACTCCAATTCCTGGAGGAACTTAAGGAGCACTAGAGACATAATTGATTCTCACATTTTCTGGAATATACATGAAGGCAACAACTTATTTTGGTGGGACAAATGGACTTTCACGGGTCCTATCAACATACAAAACAACCACACTCAGAAATCTGGCAATACAAGGGTCTGTGAATTTATCCACAACCAAGCATGGTATATGGAGAAATTACAAGACATTGTCAACCAATATATCTTAAGCGAAATTTCCCAGGTGAATATAGGCTAGCAACATTGCATAGACATGGCTATTTGGACGCCTAATGACCAACAAAACTTCATATGTGCTTCTGCCTTCCATCTCCTAAGACAAAATAGAGAACCCGCGCCTATGATGTCCAAGGTATGGATAAAGGAACTACCTTTCAAGATCTCCTTTAATATCTGGAGAATTATTTATAAAAAGATTTCCTTTGCTGACACACTTCAGAGATTTAGTGTTGCTCTATTACCCACTTGTGTTTGTTGTAGAGCCCCTAAAATTGAATCTCTGAACCATGTCTTTCCATCAGTCATATGGCCTCTAGTGTTTGGAATTATATCTCTTCTTCCCTTGGCTTCAAGACTAGAGGCAGAAATATCCTTAATCACTGATGGTCCATTCCCACCAAGAATCATGCTCACAAATTCCTCCTACAAATCACCCCTATGATTGTCTTGTGGGAATTATGGAAGGCTAGATGTCGCAAGAAGTATGGCACCAAATCAATCTCTACCTATAATATTTGCCAACAAGTTCTATTACATGTTAAGATATCCATGGGGCTTAAATTCAGTAAGATGGGTTGGGATTGAAATTGGTGGAAGGTATGTCAGACTGTTGAATCCTACAAGCCTACCCTCAAAAGTACCATAGTTATATGGTCTAAATCGGAAGGCAACTTCTGGAAGCTAAACACTGATGGGAGCTACATTGCTAATCAAGGCAAGGCTGGAGCTGGGGCATTGTTAGGAACAGAAATGGACATACGTTGATGACCTTTGCGTCACCAGTCCAATTCTTGACTAACAACTATGTAGAGGTCCAAGCAGCCTAACAAGGAATACAATGGTGTTGTGCTCAAAATTGCTTGAACTTAAAAATTTCATGAAAACTTCACAAAGACATCATCCTTATCCAAGAGATAGTAAGGCAGCACAATATCAAGGTAATTCACTGTTATAGAGGAGGGAATGGAGTCGCTGATCTTCTTTTCAAACATGCTAGTTCTCTGACTCGCAGCGTTATTTACACTAATGAGAATGACCTCCCTCCTGAAATAAGAGATTCTATTAGAGTTGATAGAATGCAAGTTCCAGCCTTCAGGTTAAAGGGAAAGAGACACTCAGGATGGTACTTTGAACCTCCATAATCTATTGAGAAGGGCTGCTTTTGATTACTTTTTACTAACAATGCAGCCCCATATGTAAGGTGTTATGCGCACCAGATCCTAGACCATCAATAATCTCTTTTAATATTTGTCTTCCGGAGGTTAGGTATTACGTCCCCATCTATTATACTTATTTTTACAATCTATATACGAGGTAGGGGATAATGCCAAATCGCCCATCACTTCGGGCCAGCATAGCCCGGGTGAATGGTTTATTCAAAAAAAAAAAAAAATCTCTATCTGTCATGCTATTAGCTTAAGTTCAGTTCCTCCTTTGCTTTTCTCCCTTGTCTTTCCAACCAAGTATGTTCACCTTCTTCTACAATCCATGACATGCGATACCTTTAATTCATTATGGAGAAAAAAAGGAAATAGAAATTTATTAAAAAGAGTTTGTGCAGTGACACAGCATAGATAATTTACATCATTTGGGTACATGATATGTATAGTAACATGGTAAATAAAATATTACTAGCATATCATAATACCTTATGAAAATTGCGCATGTTTTTCATGTTTGGTCAATAAACTGTGTTTATATTTTTTTATATAAGTTAATTTGATTCTGTTTCTCTTGGACGACAAAATGGAACACCAAGGATTATAATTTTATGTGATTTAGCTCGTGATTAAGCACGTTAAGGGGACAGCTTTCAACTCTAGATAAGGTACCTCAAACTCACAGTTGTCCCATGCATGTGGCTGCTGATCTCATTTCTGTTTTGACCAGGGACTAGGTAAATCCAAATTAAATCCGTGAAGTTGCCAAAGTCCAAGTTGCAATTTCATATTTTACCAACGTTATACATAAAAAAAGTCATAAACGGTATTCTCTCATCTTTATCCAAGAATGTGATTCTAGACCATAAGAGTAAAGTAAAATTTTCGAAGATAATTAACAATGATTATTCAAAGTTTGAAAAACTGCGGATTCTAGAGATCCTAAAAAATATAGTATGTATCTTGACGTGTATTATATTATCCGTCCAACTATTAAAGACATCAAAGGTTGACTGTCACTATGAAAGATTGAACAACTTGGACTAGCTATTAGATTGGTCAAACATTTTGTAACCTTCCAACAAATTCTCCGACTGCCTATCTTTTCCTTATATATACCCACCTTGATAAAGGAAGAGGAAAAGAAATCGAGAAGTACCCTTATACTTGTACAAGAATTTAACACCAAATACTTGTCATTAGGTTTGCTAGGGATCGAGAAAACCTTTATATATACTTGTACAAGCATGGCAGCGAACATTGAAGGTATCCGAGAAGATGAAATCTCCAAACTGGAAGAAGGTGTCCATGCAGATAATATATGTGCGTCCCAGTCTAACACTAGAATAGGATTTTGTTCATCACCTTCCGTTGTTGCTGTTGCACAAAAGGTTAGTTTTTGACAATAGTTACTTGGAATGATCTGTTAAGTGACATAATACATTAAAATAAAAATTGCACTATGAGTATATTAAATTAAAGGTAAGCTTATTAATATGTTCTATTCCTTTTTCTAGTTGATTGCAGAGGCAATTGGGACGTACTTTATTATATTTGCAGGATGTGGATCAGTAGCAGTGAATAAGCTATACGATGGGAGTATTACGTTTCCAGGGATATGCGTGACATGGGGTTTAATTGTGATGGTTATGATTTACTCTTTGGGACACGTATCAGGAGGTCATTTTAATCCTGCTATTACGATCACTTTCACTATCTTCCGTCGTTACTCATGGAAACGGGTACGTATCACGATATCAGTAGTACGTGATTTTTGATGTTTTATACTTCAATACCACATAAGAGGAGGGGGGGCGGGGGATGATTTGTGTGGTGACCAATTTTTCACTTAAACTGATAAAAGGCAGACACTTGGAACTGGTTCTTCTATCTGGTTCATGTAGCTTCAGGTTTGCACACCTAAATCACACACGAACTGCTTGCAATATTTTGCTCTCAATTTACGTTTAACTTCTGCTTATGTGCGTTACCTATAAAAGAGAATAACATTGATATTTATAGAGTTAGTAAATAGAGATTGACAAGAATTCTGATGCTACTCTTCCTTGGTGGAAGAGTTCTAGTTGATCTCAACCTCTAACTCCTTCCCTTTCTTAAACTGTGTTCTCTTTGAGTAAGGATTCCTTCTCCTTATCAATTATGCAACCTTTTCGATCAGGATCAGGAGATATCAATTCTGTCAAGTTAGGTTTATCTCCTTCACGTGCATCCCACATGCTCAAGTCTATCCATATCTGTGCTCTACTGGGATGGACCTGGTTCATGTCTGAGTTCCTTTGTCAGTCTTCAAAACTAATCTTTACTTGGACCAACAAATTTCCCCTTTTTGATGATGACAAACTCTGTGCTTTTCGTAGACTTAGGCCCTGCTAGAATTCAGCTCAACATCAATGCAACGTTAGAAACATTTTTCACTTATCATCAAGGACCGGGTTCATTAGGTTATAAACATCACTGTTTAGAGTATAAAGCACAATATCTTTTCCCCCTTTTGGCATCATCGAAAAGTTGCATAAAAAGTGTGTGATTCCCAAATTATAAAAACTACTCATGGCCACTAGGGCAACTACAAATACATTCATGGATTAATCATCAGTAATCAACTACGCATTCAAACTATCAAGGAAATATAAACAGTCAATAAGAGCAAAAACATCAAACTTCATTGATAGAGAATATGATTCTTCCACAATCCACAAAAATAGTTACAACATGAGCAATAAAACGAAATATCCCGAATCTGGGTCACTGAAGGGTCTAGGCAGGGCTAGGAAATTAAGGCTTGGAAGAACTGGGGGTTTGGGTTTTGGCTTGGAGAAGGTGCAGCATGTCCTGAAGAATTCCATCATTCTTCTCCTTTTCTTTTGTGAGCTCAGTTCTGAGAGCATCTTTCTCAGATTCTACCTCAGCCAAACGAGTCTTCAGCCTTGCTATCTCAGCATCCTTTGCCCCACTCTCCTGCAATAGAGCTTTGACCTTGCTATTTGCAGGTGTCTTTTTAGATGAACCAGGTTCATTGGAATGGCAGTGATCTCATAATCACAAGCAAGCAGAGTATTGATTCCAAAATGGTCTTTGCTTGTGGCCATCTCCCACTTCTTCAGAGGCACCTTACAATGAGCAAGAACAGTAGTGAGAATGAAACCATAAGGAGTGGCATGGGCCTTGGAGCCATTGATAACCCGATCTAGAAGCTTGACTATAAACCCAGGCCAGTTGATCTGCCGCCCACTATCCAGACATTCCATCAAAACCAAGTCCATGTAGTTGTCAATGTGCCTTCTTTCCTGCCTAGGCAGCACACACTTGACGACGAATTCAAACAATACCTTGTGGGGAGGCTTCATTTCACTTTTATAAACAACCTTTGGTGCACTTACTTCCTTATTATCACAGAATTTCCTAGTAATGGCTAGGGAAGTAGGAAGGGAGTCCAGACTTGGCCATTTTTGCCTTGTGTAATCATCATAACCTTCAGAGGGTATACCAAGGATTTCACCCAACTCTTTTGCATCAAAGGAAATTTGAACCCCCTTCACCAGGCTAGTGACCCTTCCACCCTTTACCTCAGCATTTGCCATGAATTCAATTACCTCATTTCCGGCCAGTCTGTCATCTAACTGAAGGACCATGTCCTTCCACCCTATACCTCTAGCCTTTCAAGCGGTAGAACCATCCATTCTTCCTCCAAGTCTTTCAAAAGTCTTCCCTTCAAGATAGTTCGTTTGCCAAACTTGGCTAGCTTGTCCTATTCATTATCAGACTCATCCTCCTCTTCACCACTCCAGTCTTCTTCTTCTTCAGTAATTTTCACTTGTTTGGCTTTCACAGCAGACCTTGTCCGTTTAGCTAAAGTAGAGGGTTCAGCAGACTTAGAGACAGATGAAGACTTCTTTGAGGAAATCTCGACTCTCTTGGGCTTAGGGGTCTGAACCTCCACCTCAACATTCATATGTTCAACTTGATGGACCGGGTCCATCTCATCCACATCAACAGCCTCAACACGCTCTGCCACCTTTTCTTTCCCTTTGTTCATCATTTTCTTCTTACTTTCTTCTATAGCTCTCTGCAACTCCTCCTCACTTTGCTTCAGCTTGCTCCTCGTGGCCCTTCCTCTTAGGAGAGAAGTTTCAGTAGTGTCAGAAGGAGCAGCCTTCCTTTTCTTGTTGGCTCTTGCTGTTCCAGGAGTCTTTGGTTTTGGAGTTCTCTTTTTCTTGGGGTTATAGCTATCACCTACCTTTTTCAAAAGATCTGCTAGAGTTTCTTCCATAGATGAACCAGGTTCATCTGTGTGCTTTCCAAGATTAACTAGTCCTTCAGCAGCTTCTCTCCTGATCTACTTCCCCCTGTTTTCTTGCTACTTTCTTCCACCTTTTCTGGCTTAGCTTCACAGATAGCCATTTTAACAGTTTTAGAGGTGGGTGAAGAATCAGCCACTTCTTTCCCTTTTACCCTCTCATCACTACGCACACCCTCACTCTCCTTTTCTTTTTTTCTTTTATTTTTACCTCCTCTCCTTCTTGACTCAGTCGTCTCCACATCCTCCACAGACCCAATAAATCGATTTTCCAGATTTTTGGCCAAATTAGAGATTACTGCAGTAGAAGGAGTTTGCACAGATATTACCTGCTCAGAATCGGAAGACCCAGTTCCTTCCCCCTCACTCTTAGACTTTAAAGATTTATCAAAATTTTGGGAGTCTTGGGCTTGACTAGCCTTTAACCGTGCGTTTAATTTCCTTGACAGCGCACCTGTAGCCACAGGTTTTCGAGCAAGCATCTTTTACTCGCCTTCTCCTATTGAGGGGTAGTGCTGGGTTGAGGAGTAGTGGAAGAATCGAAGGGGGTAGGTGGAGGAGGTGTACCGGGGTTATCTTAGGGGTTAGTCATTCTCTCTTGATTCTGAAAAAATGGGTGGTTTGAATTTTTGGAAGAGAAGAGAGAAAATTTTGACGGTTTTTGAAAATTATGAGAGACTGGCAGGGTGATGATGATGAATTCAAAGGAGGAGGGTAATTAATACACAATGATAGCTTTTAGCAGTCAAATAGAAGTCAAATCAACCTGAAATTTCAGTTTGAATAGTCTGTTAGGCTTCCCTAGAATCTAGGCGTTTTAACACGGTGAGGATTCTTATTGAAAACGGAACTGGTTCAAACTTATTTGGATAGGCTTGATTCTTCCATTTTAAACTTCTTAAGCAACTCTTTTACATATTTTCTACTGATGATCATAGTTCCATTTGAGTTTTGTTTAATTTGTAGGCCTAGAAAGAAATTAAGCTCACCCATCATACTCATTTCAAATTCACTCCCCATTAGTTTAGCAAATTCCTTACTTAGTTTTTCAGTAGTCGCTCCAAAAATTATGTCATCAACATATATCTGTACTACTAGAAGATCTTTACCTTTTTCCCTCAAGAATAGAGTGTTATCAATTTTACCTCTCTTGTAGCCATGTTCAAGCAGAAATTTTGATAGTCGTTCATACAATGCTCTAGGAGCCTGCTTGAGTCCATAGAGTGCCTTGTCAAGTCTGTATACATGATCAGGACACTCCATGGTTTCAAACCATGGAGGTTGCTTGACAAGCACTTCTTCCTTTAAGTAGCCATTGAGGAAGGCACTCTTGACGTCCATCTGGTGAAGAGTAAATTCCATGTATGCAACATATGCTATGAGGAGTCTTATTGCTTCCTACCTTGCAACTGGAGCAAAGGTCTCATCATAGTCTATGCCCTCCTCTTGGCTATATCCTTGAACCACCAATCTTGCTTTGTTCCTTGTAACAGTTCTATCTTCATCAAGTTTGTTTCTGAAGACCCATTTTGCGCCAATTACTTATCTGTCCTTGGGTCTTGGAACCAGATGCCAAACTTGACTCCTTTCAAACTGGTTGAGTTCATCTTGCATTGCATTTACCCAGTTTGCATCTTGTAAGGTTTCACAACCAACTGGTTTCCGCTTGATGTTTCTCCCATGTTTTGTTGCTGAGGAACAGGCTCATGGACAGGTTCCATTGAGGTATTAGATTCAGTTCCTCTTTGTTCAGTTCCCCTTGTCAGGTTGCCCTGGATGGAAGAACCTGTTCCATCACCTGTTCCTTCTTCTGGTGCAGCTTCAGCCTTGGCTGTGATTTCATTTGAACTTCTTACCAGCCCAATAGCTTCATCTTCATGTTCCTGTCTCTCAGAAAGAATATTAGTTGCATCAAAAACCACATGTACACTTTCTTCTACACACATAGTTCTTTTGTTGTACACTTTACACGCTTTTCTATGTGAAGAATATCCCAAGAATACTCCCTCATCACTTCTGGGATCAAACTTACCTAGGGAGTCCTTTCCATTGTTATGCACAAAGCACTTGCATCCAAATGCCCTAAGATGGGATATATTTGGTTTTCTCCCTTTCAGTAACTCATAGGGAGTCTTCTCTACAAGAGGTCTAGTTATGCACCTATTAATGATGTAACATGCAGTGTTTACAGCTTCTGCCCAGAAGCTATGGGGCAGCTTACTAGAAAGAAGCATAGTCCTAGCCATATCTTTAAGTATCCTATTCTTTCTTTCAACTACTCCATTTTGTAGAGTCTTAGGGGCAGAAAAATTATGATTGATGCCATGCACATCACAAAATTCAGCAAACTTAGCATTTTCAAATTCAGTTCCATGATTAGACCTAATTGATGCAAGTTGATTACCTAGTTGTTTCTGATTTTTTCTAACAAAAGAAGTAAACATGTCAAATGCTTCATCTTTAGATGTTAAAAATAATGTCCAAGTAAACCTAGAGTAATCATCAACAAGCACCATCACATATCTTTTACCACCTCTGCTTAATGTTCTCATTGGACCACAGAGATCCATATGGACCAGTTCTATCGATCTAGTCGTGCTTACAACTTTCTTGTATTTAAAAGAGGATTTTACCTGCTTCCCTCTTGCTCAAGCCTCACAAACTTTGTTTTCCGTAAACTTGATGTTAGGCAGCCCTATCACCAGGTCCTTGGAAACTACTTTGTTAAGTTGACTTAGACTTGCATGTCCAAGTCTCTTGTGCCAAATGAGGGGATCATTGTCCAACGCACTTAAGCAAGTGAGTTCATTTTCTGAAAGAGTGGACATATCTACAATGCATATATTATTTACCCTTTTTCTCTGCAAAATAATCTTGTAAGTAGTAAGATTTATCACAAAACATTTGGTAGAGGTGAATGCTACAAAGTTACATCTGTTGCACACTTGTGATACACTGATTAGGTTATATTTCAAGCCATCTATCAAGTAGACATTCTCAATGGAGTGTGAGTCTCTCTTACCTACCTTTCCAACCCCAACCTTTCTTACCATTTCCAAAGGAGACATTTCCTCCTTTGAGGTCCTCAAGTGAAAGGAACTGGTTCTTGCTTCCAGTCATATGCTTTGAGTAGCCACTATCCATGTACCATATTTGACTGCTCCCTTTCACTTGGACCCGCAAAAGGAAATCAGGGGTTCGTTTTAGGAACCCAAACTAGTTTGGGTCCCTTTCTATAGGCAAAAGGGTGAATTAAATTCTTTTTAGCCCATCCTGCCAGCCTATTTTTCTCTTGAACAAATGATTTGTTCTTTTGACTAGCCTTTTCTTTTGTAGTACATTCACTTTTGTAGTGACCAGTCTTACCACAGTGTGTGCAGATTTTGTTCTCAGGAAGTGTGATATACTTTCTTTTGGGATCCCACTTAGGTGCAGGGATCCCGTATCCAAGTCCTCTCTTATTGCTACTATGGTGTTCTTGTAGCCATGAAAGTGCATCAGAGGACCTATTCCTTTTACAAGTTCTGTCTAGCTCGTGCTTGACCTTGCTTAGATCTTCCTTTAGGACTCTTATCTGCTCATCTCTTTTGTAAAACTCATCTTTCATTTTTCCTAGATTTTCTTCTAAAGTGAGATGTGTGTGATCAGCTTTCTTTTTACCTGTTCCTAGTTTCAGTTTTAAATTTTCAGATCTAAGCTCCAGCACAGTGGTGTCAAGTTCAAGAACCTGGTTCTTTAACTCAGCATTTTTACTATCACTTTCACTAGTCCTAAGTTCCAGATTCTTGCACTTAGCTCTCAAAATCTCACACTCCTAGATATCTATTCCCTTTCATTGTTTATGACCTCAGATTCATCAATGAAATCCAGAAGTAACTCAGATAGACTTTTTTTGGACAAAAACATAATCTTGTCTTTGAGATGAGTTATAGTTACCTCAGATTCCTCATCAGATTCTCCAATGGCGATAAGTGCTTGTTCATCTCCATCTTCATCCTCTGAATCTTCAACTGAACATTCTTCCCAGGCAGCAACCATAGCCTTTGTTGATCCTTTGTTCTTCTTGGGATGAACATATTCCTTCTTCATGTTCTTTCGTTCAGCCCTTTCTTTCTTCCATTCAATTTCCCACTGAGGATAGTTTTTGATGTGGTGATCAGTCTTCCCACACTTGTAGCAGCCCTCGTTGGTCTGTTTTTCAGAAACCCTTGGTTTGTTGTAGCTTGCACCTCTTGAGGAACCCTTTCCTCTCATTAGATACTTCTTGAGGTCCTTTGTGATCATAGCCATTTCATCCTCTTCTAGATCAGCGCCTTCAGTGATTCTGAGTGCCAGGCTCCTTTCCTTCTTGGGTGCATCCATCTTCATGGTTTGCCTTCTTAGTTCATAAGCAGTAAGATTTCCAATTAGCTCGTCCAGCTTAAGAGTGGCAATGTTCTTTGATTCCTGCATTGTAGTGATTTTGCTTTCCCAAGTGACTAGCAAAACCCTTGTCAGAATTTTCTCAACTTTGTCTTCTTCAAGAATAACCCTTCCTAGAGACTTAAGTTCATTTGTTAGTATGGTGAACCTTGTATACATCTCTTGGATGGTTTCTCCTTCCTTCATGGTGAAATTTTCATATTGAGAATACAACAGTGTTCCTCTTGACCTCTTCACTTGAGGAGTTCCTTCATGAGCCACTTGCAAAGTGTCCCAGATTTCCTTAGCAGTGGTACAACTTTGAATTCTACTGTACTCGTCTGGACCAAGTCCATACACAAGCCATTTCTTGGCCTTAGCATTCTTTTCCCACTTCCTCAAGTCCTCAGCATTGCAGTCAGCTCTTATTTTTTGCACGTCTACTCCTTCAGCATTCTTCTTCATGGTAGCCAGGAGACCATCAATGACAATATCTCACAGCTCATAGTCTTCTCCGATGATGTGATCTCTCATCCTGTTTTTCCACCAGGAGTAGTACCGGCCATTAAAGAGTGGAGGCCTAGCAGTGGATTGCCCTTCCCAGTTTTCAGGTGGTGCACTCCTCTTGATCTGTTCCTAAGGCGTTAGCCTCTTCAAGGATAACCCGCTCTGATACCAATTGATATTTTATACTTCAATACTACACAAGGGAGGGGGGGTGTGGTGACCAATTTTTCGCTTAAACTGATTATGGAAGGACCTGGTTCTTCTAAGTGTTCCTTAACCTACTATTGAAGAAATAGTAAATGCGGAAAGTAAAGAACACAAGTATTTTACGTGGAAAACACTTGGCTCAAAAGGTGAAAAAATCATGACCTACTTTCCAGTAGGATTTTCCCAAACTCTCCACTAAAATCACTGAACCAAAAACTGCATTTATAAAAACTCTTTTGTGAACCTAGGACTAACTCTAATCCCGTTGTAGCACATAACCTCTAGCTTTTGCGACAACTTCAAGTTAACTCTAACTTGAAGACTCTGAGTACCTATTACAATTGCCTCTAGATAAAGTTGAAAGGTACAATATAAAACCACCTACTACAATTGAACTAGAATAAAAGGCAGACACTTGGAACTGGTTCTTCTATCTGGTTCATGTAGCTTCAGGTTTCCACACTTGAATCACACACGAACTGCTTGCAAAATTGCCTTACTATTTTGCTCTTAATTCACGTTTAACTTTTGCTTATGTGTGTTACCTGTAAAAGAGAATAACACTGATATTCATAAAGTTAGTAAATAGGATTGACTAGAATTCTGATGCTACTCTTCCTTGGTTGAAGAGTTCTAGTTGATCTCAACCTCTAACTCCTTCCCTTTCTTAAACCGTGTTCTCTTTGAGTAAGGAGTCCTTCTCCTTATCAATTATGCGACCTTTTCGATCAGGATCAGGAGATATCAATTTTGTCAAGTTAGGTTTATTTCTTTCACGTGTATCCCACATGCTCAAGTCTATCTGTATCTGCGCTCCACTGGGATGGACCTGATTCATGTCTGAGTTCCTTTATCAGTCTTCAAAACTAATCTTTACTTGGCCAACAGTTTTTAAGCTTTACTTCTTTTTTCCATTCACACAGTTATCTTGGGAGGAAACATCTGATCTACAACATTAAGAGTCCAATAGCTCACAACTTAAGGTACTCATGCATGTAGAACATAACCAACGTTCAAGTGTTTAAATGAAAGTTTGTGCCAAAATTTATGAAATCCTTATTTTTGTGGCAAAATATATCGAGATCTCCTTGAACTTGATACTTTTTATTCAACGTAGACCTGAACTATTTTCGGTCCAAATTTACCTCTTGAACTTTTCAGTTTGGTAGTCTTGATCGAATAAACATGTATATGTAATATGATATCCATCCAATGCACAGGCACCTTTTTACATAATAGCTCAGCTAACGGGCTCAATTCTAGCAAGCGGCACATTAGCACTATTGTTGGACGTCACTTCCACATCTTATTTTGGTACTATTCCAGTAGGATCTAATGGCCAATCTTTGGCTATGGAAATCATCATTTCCTTCCTCCTAATGTTCGTTGTTTGCGGAGTTTCTACAGATGATAGAGCGGTATGTTATTTATTATATTTTACATTGAGCAGATAACTTCATTAGAAATTTAGCACCATTCTCAAGGTCATTGGTTAATTCATTTGTTTTGCATGTGAAAAACAGATAGGAGAACTGGCTGGATTGGCTGTTGGAATGACAATAACCTTGAATGTCTTTGTTGCCGGGTATGCTTAAAGTTAACTACTCATCTTATCACTTTACATAGCACAAAAACTTTGCTAAATATTTAACTATAAAAATTTGTTCTTTCTAGTACTTTTTTAAAAAAAATTAATTTTATTTAAGGAAATTAAAGAATTGGTTTTCAGATTCATACCAAAAATTATTTTTAAATGACCCACGTTTTTGAATCCGTCAATCTCTGCCTCTTCTATTATTATTATTATTATTATTATTATTTTTTAATATAAAGGAAATGGAGAGTAGTAATTCTTACCTTTCAAATGAAGTGGATGCAGGCCAATTTCAGGAGCATCGATGAACCCAGCAAGGAGCATTGGTCCAGCGATTGTGAAGCAAGTCTATAAAGGTCTTTGGGTGTATATAATTGGGCCAGTCATCGGAACTCTAGGGGGAGCGTTTGTATACAACTTAATTAGATTTACGAATAAACCACTTCTTCAACTGGTTAAAAGTAGATCCTTTCTTCCAAGTTAAGAGAGTAAAATAATTCATGAATTTTTAGGTTATAGGCCTAGTGAAGGAATGTATCTGTCATTTTTTGAAATCTCTTTTTATGATTCATCAAAATAATACTAATGTAAATTCTTCAGCAATGTACTTCTTTTAACAAATTTTATTGTTCTTGTCTAGCCCTGTATTCCTTCCGCTTACCAAGAGATAACAGAATGCCCATATAACAAATAGTTTCTTGTACCATTCGCCTTACGCGGTGATATCTTTGCATGTGAAAAAATTATACATCCACCATTTCAAGTTTGATGAGATACTTTCCTTTTTAGTCTATTTCAAAATAAATGACATATTTTTAAATTTTGAAATAATTCAACTTTAAACTCTTTATTTTATCCTTAATGAGAAGCTTTTACAACCATACAAATCTCATGGCCTAACAAAGCTTTTACCCCTTAAAATTTTTAAGACCAAAAGTTTCAAAAATCTTTTTTTTTTCTTGAACCCCGTGACGAGACAAACTACCTCATCTAAATTGAAACGGAGAAAGTATACAATAAGGTTCGCCATAAGATTTATCTGTTGTTGCCCGGGGCGAAGCTATGCTCTTCTAAGGTGGTCAATGGACCACCCTTCGTAAAAAATTACACTGTATATATAGGAAACAAAATATTAGAGTTTAGAGGCATATAACATATATTGAACACCCTTTGTCGAGAATTTTTTTTTCTTCTTTCATGTTTGAACATCCTTGGAGTAATTTCTGGCTTCGCCACTGGTTGTTGCGTGTAAGTCAACTTAACTTGATGGAGCAAAAATATTTATACACTTACGGTCAGAGAACCTATACTCTAGCTAATTGACCTGATTGTGTAAAAAAATTATACGCATGAGTTGTATAAAACATAAACTTATAAATAAGTAACAGTAAATGGGATTTTTAACTTGTACTAACAAAAAGTTTTTACACTGAATGAGTATTTTAATTTGTTGTAGTAGATAATATATCTTATTTTTAAGTATAACTGTAATTATCTTTTAGGTAACTTCTTTTAATAGTATATATTATTTTTTTAATATGTCTAACATATAGAAGTTAAACTCTCACAACCAAAGTAGCCGAAAGAGAGAAGAAACAAAAGTTAATCTTGTGGATAATCTGACAAGAGAAAAAATGTTACAGAAGATAATAAATCCGATCCAGCACTGAAGAAAAAGTAAAAATAAATGACTTATTAAATCAAGCCTACCTTGAACGTTACTGATAGAGACACGTTAAGAACACTAAAATCAATAAAAATTTCCTAGCTAGCCAGTCACATAGCCTAAGACCAACAACTCTAGAATCCCACAACCAACCAGAAGAAGCAGAGAATTAAGACAAAGGGGATTTCTAGTTAATGCACCAGAGTATATTTGTAAATTAAATGGATCAGTTGAGTACAAGTTTCCTGGTGGGGCTGTGAAATAGATGAACCTTGGCGGCGGCGGCGGTGACGACGGCTTACTCTGTTGAATTGCTGGTGGTGCTGTGAAATAGATGAACCTTGGCGACGGTGGATTCTGTTGAATAACTGGTGGACAATATGTATTACTGGCCTTGGGAGGTGGTGGTGGAGGAGAAAGAATAGGAGGAGTTATAAATTGTTGATTACATGGTTTCCCACACGGGCATTCTCCACACTTTATACTTGGATCAGGCATCAGAGGACCATCAACATTACTGTCATGATCAGAGGTAATAGCAGTGGCTTTGGAAGAAACTATAAGTACCGTGAGAACCATACAAGACATGATCTTGATCATGATCAGAATTAGAAACTTCTTACTACGTGTATGCATTGGCATGCAATTGTATATAGAAGCTAAGGTTTCTCGGTAATTCTATTTCTCAAGGTTTATAGATATTAAGAGATGGCTACAATGATGGAATGAGTAATATGAGTTTGTATATGAAGTGAACTTTTGGTGGCCTATATATGTGGCTTATTACTTAAAGTAGGGTGAGATGCATTTTGCATGAGCTAGCAATCATGGATAGAAAGGCTAAAGTAAAGGCTTAACTTATAGTATATAGTAATATAAAGAATTCTTACATACCTACAGAGTATTTTAACCAATTAATTAAAACAAGTTACTAACCACTACTTAATATTTTAGGTTATTGAAATAGAAATTAATTATAGACAGTTTCATGTTGTCGTAGGTCATCTTAGCTGATAGCATAAAAAAATGTACACGGTCAGTGTGTAGAAGTTAAACTACAATGTAAATAAATCTTGGATATATAGTAAATAAGGGTATGGCTGGATGGAGACTTGGTATTACTATCATTATGAGCTTCCTTTTATGACTATTAAGGAAAGATATGAAAATGAATTGCATATGGGTGATGTTATTAATTACTAGGTTGTAGGACATGTTGTAATATTATTCTTCTCTCTTTTTGGATGCATGTATGATGCTATATACGTGGTGTAACGAAGTCCATCGGTTGAAATGTACTTAAAGAATATATGCTCCATAATATAAGCCATCAATTGGTAAGAGAATCACTTGATAATCAAGCAAAGAGAGGGCTTAGGCAATCGAATCATGCCATCAAATTAAAGTTATCAATCTTAAGGAATAAAGAGTTTCGGATGGCCCAGCGAGTTTTGCAATTTTTTGGTGTATCAATCATCATGTATTTATAGCATTTACACTTGAATATGTACGCTACGTACACATATTAGGTGGTAGTATTAGGTGAGAAGCAGATAGAACAGAAACTCTGTAGTGACAATGATCGAGAAAAGTGTGACGGTGTCGTATTGATCTCTATCTTTAGACTAATTCTAATTTGTTCAATTATTGGATAAAGCTTTAAGTTGGAAGGGTACTTCTCCTCAAATAGACTATGCCAGGGAAATCTTAATAGGTCAATTGATTGGTTACTTGAGCTTTTAACTTGTTGGTGAGGGTTTAATTCCCAAACTTATAATCCGACCTCCCATTTTCTCCTCCCCTGCCCCATTAAAAAAGAAAAGAAGCACTTGTGCGTGCACCACATACACACACATCATGTCAGAAGCGTATCTTACTATTAGGATATGTGTTCACGTGAACCTATACTTTTCTCTATGAATCATGTATAAAAAAGTAGGCTCTACATGCATGCAATTTTGTTAGCCAAAAACTTGTTGATCACACAAAAGGAAGAATCGAATGCTCACAGCCAAAAAGGCGAAGAAAGAGAACCCTTTTCTTTGTCCAATATCGGATGTCAGGAACCTTTCTTTTAATGAATTTCTTATTTCTCTTTCGGTGCTCGTTTCCTGGCCGGTTCGTTATTTTTGGGGTTTTCAAAAGCCCAAAAATAATTAGACCATAATGGTTAGAGGATAATGAAAAACTAAGATATTGATTTATAACAGAAGTATTGGGAAAATAGCGCGTCAGATTTTAAAGTATGCTTGCTAGAAATTTTGATTGTTAGAATTTGTGATAAAATCTTTCAGCTCACCTGAATTTTCAAACACAACTGAAAATAATTTGGTTATCGTCATGATTATGTCACAAATCATGGCCGATCACTAGAATTTTTCAGCATTGTGGCTGAATTTCTAGTGCTTCAAAATTTGGCGATTGCAAAAATCGCTTTCTAAAATACTGACTAGCGTGCTTTAAAATTCTAGTAAGGGATTATTTTCTCAAAACTTTTTTTAACGGGATCAAAATTTAAACGGAGGTCCTAATTTTTAGAAGTTAAGGCCTAATTGTGAAACATACTAAACATGGAGTACTGGCTGCTCTGTATGGAGGCATTTTTATTTTATTTTCACTATATATGCTAGCATTTGATATGTTATATATACCGAATTAAAAAATTTTAAAATAATTTCAATTTGTACTACACATATTAAGAAATCATTTTCTTCTTCTAAGGAAAGTTAAAGATTTGATACTCTGACCTAGTTCATATTTAATTTGCTGGTACTCAGCAAGCTAAGTCACTGGAATTAGCAATAAGTTACAAGGACTGAAGGTAAAAGCAGTAGGAATAAGGCGTAGATGTTCTTGAGGCTAGAAGGAGAAGAGAAGGAAGCTTGTGTCAGAAAAGAGTAAGATGCTTGTGTGGCTGCTGCCATATTCTCATATCCTTTTCTTAGTCTGTGGAGTAAATTTACCTTGTCAAGAAGTTCAGGCCAAGAGCAAGATTTAATTTGTTTTTCCTAATTTTCTTGCCATATTCAAGTTTTCAATTTATTTTATTTGAAGAGGAATAAGTTTTGTCATTATTAAAAAGGGAAGAATTTATTGACTCATATGATGATTTGATGATTAACCAACGAAAGCTACTTACAAAATCTACTTGGGACATTGGTTGATGAAAAGTTGCGATATAGACTTCTAACTAGTTCATGTGTTTCATATTCTCAGCTAAGCATGTTTCCTAAGTGTCATGACCCTATCAAAACACTGGTCCACACGGAACACCTCAAGTCACTATGCTCAAAATCGACAACCACGCGCAATTTGATGTCTAGAACCAAAGCAAATCATCATAACCACGACGAAGCAATCGACATAACATTACACAAACCCGAAAGGACACAACCGATACGACATCCGCCGAGCAATACCCAATACACTTCCCGCTCAAATTCCACTGAGAGACCCCAATAAAATCGCACTACATGTGCCTATAACCAACAAATCCCAACGCTTCGCGACACGGAAAGGTAACTCATAGATCTCCCCAGAACACAAATAAGCTCAATAACAATCAAATGGCACATACCTCAACAATAGCAATTCGGAGTCAACAAATCCGACCCGGTGCAGAACACACACCCATACAGGCCTACCAACGAACCCTAAATCAACTCTGGTCACCCACAACAGTTAAATACCCTCCGAAAGTCTACAATGACTGAATCACAACACATACTAACCTCTGGCCAACCTTGGCTACATTTTTTTTTTTACAGTTCATAACCACGAAACAATCTACTCACGAGAACTCTCAGTCTCCCAATCCATAGAACATATGAATCACCATCTCTGATCTCGACTGCACCGCCTGAATGATCACACTTCACCATTTACACGATCACCCCACGAGGAATACTTCTAGAATTCTTCTGTGCCACCAGGCAAAATTTGAATATCAGCAGTCGATCAGACAGGAGAGTACCGCAATACCAATGAAGTATCCTTAACTTAAACACATTGCCCTTTCTGAAATATAAACCTTCATCAAGCCACACCAATTAGTAGTATCGTTTACCTAGTCATCTGAAACTGTCCATGCTGCCTAAGAATTTATGACATTCATTTCAGAACTGAACCGTTACCTTACACATGCAAATCTCAACCCTACACAACATACCGCGTATACCATGCCATCCTATGTCAAATATCAAGACTTCGTAATCCATTCAGATTCATAAGCAACTACGTACTCAACTAGCCAAGAACTTTCCATTTGATCCCATCTAGAAGAAAATCTCTATACATTACATGCTTCTCACGCCATTAGAAAATGTACATCTCTAACCGTGGTAGAAAACCATCAAGAACTCTCCAAATCCCATTTGCACAAAACCAAACCGTCATGACTGAATCCTTTTAGCTCATCCAAACTACGCATGTCACCACAAACCCAAGAGCATTGCCACAAGACACCTGTAGAAACTCATTACCCTATAAGCACCCAAAGAACTAATCGTTCCTTGCCATGCCGATCCGGCCTATTACCAAGCTATCCTATCCATCCGAGTTTCCTTCTGATTTACCTTCAACTTGATACTCCTTCTTGCTATAACACTATAATTTCCTCAACCCAGACTCACCACACGAGACCCAAGCATAAAACCATATCGTCTAAGGCTTATAAGCCGATGGATACTCTCTTAAATATTCCCAAAGGCACCACATTCAAAATACCTACCCTGAAGTGACTTCCTGCGAATCGAAAGCCATTACCTTTACCTTCCCAATACTGATATATATAGAATCCCACAATGATATAGAAATACCACGAGTCTTGACACCCTCCAATGCAAACATCAGTTTCTAGCCAAATATACAACTTGAAAATCTCCAATTATTACATTTAAAATCTTGAACCCATTAGAAACATTCTCGAGAGTCATCCACTCTACTCAAATCGCAACTAGACTGATTAAATGAACCGAACAACCTATGACTCATTAGCACTCCAACACTGCAGGGTGTAACTTCACCTTAATGCAACCAAACAACTTCCTGTTCTATGCACTGTACATACTTTACTAATAACAACTCAAGCCATTCCACGATTCTCATACACCTATAAAGCATAACATAACCTTTATTGAAATTTCCTTTACTCGAGCCATCTCCGGCCTCAAACTCCGTAAGCCATAACTGATTCACAAATACGCCTCAAGCTGGAACCATCATAGCACATAATCGTGCAATCAACCAATCAATAGCAGACTCCCCCACTTGGCTCGAAGCCATAGATCAAAACACACAATAACTCATAATAAATATACTCTATTACTGCCATAATACCGTAGTGAGATTGAACTAATTCCTCATAAGCTCGTGCAACACAGATCATCTAGTACTTCAAATCTTCTGCAATTCTCGCATTCACCCTCGTAAAAATCAAGCCCACTCTCTTAAGATATCAAAATTCAATTTACGACACACATATTCACTAGTAAAGGAGATCTTCCAACAACAACATAAGGATCGCACAAACTTGAGAACACTCCGCAGGAGATAACCCACCTGCTTCTCCTCAAACTAACATCTCTTTA